GAAAGAGAAGGGTCAAAGTCCAAATGCCTTACAGAAAAGGCCTTGGTAGAAGTCCTGATATTCAGAAGAGCAGTTGCTAGGAGTGCTAAACATTTATTGTCCCTACACACCCACACACAGTACTCACAGGCTACGGGCACAGAGCTGGCACTCGTTGTCGTAGGTGACCCCGTCGGTACCACAGACAGGGGCGAGGATTTTCTCACAGAGCACCAAAACTTTGCCTTCTTCTGTTGTGTTGGAATATCGACTGCAGTCCACCTGTTGAGGGAACATACACAATGCACCAGTGAAGGATCACCTGTAGAAAACAAGTAGATCCGGAGAGTGGGGCTGTTTGGCCACCTGAGATACCATCACAGCAGGAAAAAAAGCTTTTTTGTGTTTCACTGTGATGATAGTTCACTTGAAGATGACCAATGCAAGATTCTGACATCTCATATGTCCTCTTCTCTGTGTTTAAATTTTTTCTTGGGGGAGTCAATAAATGGTTTAGGCCACCGAGATGCGGGTCATGCCCCTTATTTTGCCCTTGATTTCACTTACAGGGGCAATTTCCTTGCATTCTCCATCATGGTCTTTGCTGACATTGGTTCCATAGTCTCTGGAGAGGGAAAGACAAATGTTAGGAAGTTCAGCAAAGAAGCTTTGTTACATCAGAGGTCCTGGAAATACATAACTAATACATGACAAAGCTGACTCTCTACCAGCCAGGCTTATACACAGGCTTATATTTTTGAGAAGGTAATGCCATCCTCCCTGGCCAGCTAGCACTAAGTGGCCAGCAGGGATATAAAGACCTTGAGAGCTTTAGGACCATTTTGGACAGTTCAGAGCAGAGCGTCTCTCCACCCATTTGCTCTCCTTTGCTCTGATGAGGTGAGCCCTGGGGGCTGTCATCTGGTTGATCCTTGAGCTAGAGAAGAAAAAGCTGAATTAATCACAGCAGCAAGACACACAGTGACTAAAGTGATGTCTAGGCAACAGAGTGCCATGCAGTGATATCCGAGCTCATTTTGAAGGAATTGGCCCAAATGACATATGACAGATCACTGTTTGTTGAAAAGAGGTGGTGACAAGAATCCTAAGCATTGCTGCTGGAGATCTCCCAGGGAGTACATACATGTTGTAGGCACAGAGCTGGCACTCATTGCTGTAGGTGACTCCATCGGAGCCACAGATGGGGCTGCGGGTCTTGGGGCAGTCCACGACCTCTCTGCCTTCCTCACTTGTAGTGTTGAGATACGTACTGCAGTCCACCTGCCAAAGGAACATACAGCAACAGGGTGGAGAAGACATTTTAGATTCACAACTCTCATTTTGCATGTGATATTAACCAGATAAAACCTGCAGGGTTTTTTTTCTCTACCACAGCACAAACTCATGTTGGTGGGTCAAGCTGGTAGCAGTTGAATCCATCCCTCCCCACATAGCAGGAGAGAAGGAGGAGGAGATAGCTACAGCCAGGAAGCCCCCCAGATCTACCCCCAGATGGGGTAAATCAGTAGGGGTCTCTCACACTCACTTGACATCATTTTACAAGGGCTATCCTTTGGTCCTTCATTCTCATATTCTTGTGGCACTTTTGTTATTACTCTTTCATTCTCAACTCACTGATCAAGTTGACCTGGTGTGTGGAAGCTGGAGTGTCTCACAGAGTTTTATTCTTTCAGTAGGTTGCCTTCAAATAGGTTCTGATACCACAGTCTGTTGCTATCAGTTTAGAGCCAGTCATATATGACCAGCTTAAAGCTTAGACCAGTTTGAATTTGGTGAAAAATAAATTAATCCAGCAATTTTGTATCATTACCACTACTACATTATTAATATACAGAATAGATGTAAAGCAAGAACAGTATAATTTATTGCTTTACATAGTAGAATCTGATTACAATGACACTGATTTAATTTTAGGTGAAAAACAGCTAATCATCTACAGGTCTCAGGTCTTTCCTATTCCTCTGGTTCTGGCTTTGCCAGGCCATATACTCAAGAAAAGTGTGAGAAAGAAATCTTCCACTCACCTCAATCCCAAAGGCAGTATCTGGAAAAGAACAGAGAGGCAGAAAGTGTGAAACAAAGCCAAAATGATAAGACCTCAGCTAAAGCTGGTTGTACAATTCCTCTACGCAAGACTAAACTGAATGATTTCCAGTGATTGGTTTCCTGAACTAGATAAACTATGTAAGAAATGTATTTTATTTTTTTTCTGAGTTGATAAAGTGTAATAGTGCTGCTTATTACTGGCTGTGATGAAACATGTTTTTGAACAGTTTTGTTGTTTTGGGTTTTTTTTTAATTTTGAGATAGGTAGACTAATTAATTGAAAATAGAACAGCTTTTCCTTCCTTATCTTTTTTAGACATCCATTTTGACCCTAAAGAGCTGCTGTTATGCATATGAAAAGAAACCTGAGTCAATACAGATAAATGCAAATGCAAATAGTCACCTACAGGATAAGGAAACACATACAGCATCTGTTGTCAGCAATATGCATTTTAAAGCAGCTGAGTGGGGAAAAAAAAAAATTGTCTTTGACTTTGTAACTTTGTCAGATGTAAATACACAGCAAGAACATCAGACTCTGGCTTGTTTTCATCTCTTGTTTCTCCATTAACAGCAAAAGCATTGCAGGAAATTTGCCAGGCTGCTGCACAGAACTTGCTTGTGCCATTACAATACTGTCATGACTAGTTAGCAGAGGTCTGACCATCTCCTTACAGCCTTGTGTCAAGTGCTTTTCCATTTGTCGCAATGGTAGAAACACCAACAACAAGTGCAAGCAGTGTAGAAGTGTTAAAACAACAGTATAAATAATGTAACAGCACCAGTTACCAACACAGAACTCCAATTTGCAGTTGTTTGTATGTACAACACAACCAGCTACAAAACAGTGATCCAATTAAGACCATCCTGAAATCTGCTCCTGCATCCTGTGTGTTGCTAACGTACCCAGGCAGAAGCAGAATTTTCCTCTTTGAAGCCATCATCCCATCCTTGTAAAGACAGGCAGGACCCAGACATGAAGCCTCTGCAGCATCTGGGGAGTCACTCACCTGGGACGCAGCAAAGCGCGAAGGAGAGGAGCGCGAAAACACCTGCCGTGGTCATGGTGGGAGGATTTCCTGAGTCTGCAGGCTGCCTGCTCCTGCTCTGCTCATGAGATGGTGTCTCCAAGGTTGACTGCAAATATATACAAATGCAGTGTCTAAACTGTTCAACTGTAACATAAAACAACCAGCAGAATCTGTCACTGGTACAATGAGGCTGGTAATATTTATTGAGGTCTTGACTTTCAGGTAATGGCCTGAGTCTGCTAGGCAATTGATTTTGGCTGGGCATCTGGTTAATAGCTTGAGACAAGTATCACATGTTCTCAGTGGTCAAAACCAAACAAACAGCTTTTTAGACAAAAGAAACCTCTTTAGGATTCTAGCATAAACACAAGGAGCACAAAATACTGAGGGATGTAAACAGAAGGTCTTTCCTTCATCTCCTCAGAGCCACATTTTCCATCAGGGGGCAGCTTCAGCAGAGTGTGCCATGCTATCCTGCTTGCAGATCAGGCTGAGCAGTTCTGTTTTCCTTTCTGGTTTTGAGGGTTGTTTTTTTTCATATTTCCAGATATTCACCACTAGGTATGAACATGGGCCAGGTGTGACTTTGCAGGACAGGTTAAGCTTTGTCAGGTGAGTCTGGCAGGACTGTGTCTACTCAATAAAGCTAATGGTATTTAGCACTGGTTTGATTTTAAAAAGGGGCTTCTTGACAGGTGCACTGCCTGGCTTAGAAGAGCCCAGTAAGAGACTTGTAACAAGTTAAATTCTGTCAAACACCACTAAAAATGTCACTTGAACCTTATCAGCAGGGAGCAGTTATTTACAGACCCAGTCACAGTTAAACACACCAACCAATTCAAAGTGTTCCGCCAAGCCACCTTAAGAGCAAATTACACTGAAGGTTTAGGCACCTATTTACCTAGTACCAACTATGCTTGAAAGCACAGTAGCTCCTTTCCCTCCACAGATATTTTAGAAAATGATACTTTAAACATAGAGCCCATCACAATTGCCCCGTCTTGCACCTCCAGCCTTTGTCCCATCTCCAAGGTGTTCCTTCTTTAGAGGAGGTCTGAAGGAGGCTGAAATAATCAAAAGTTAGCCCAAGCAATTGTGTTGGTGTCTAACACATCACAGTGGTCCAAAGGATATCCTTTGATCCTTAAATGTGGAAGTTGCACTGTAGTGCATGGAATCCCCTACCCCGGGCACTGGCATGTAATTAAGGCTGCAGCATGGCTGCGTGGATTTATAGATTACATTTTTACCTAAAAGAGATGGGTTTCTTCACAGGGAGAAGCATTAAAATAATTATGTTGCTGGGTTTGTTTCCATAAATTACAGGGAGCTTGCATGAATATTTTAGACAGATTTGGCACATCTTTGAGATGCGTTGTTCTGATGTGCCTTATGGATGGTGTTTCTGGAAGCCAGAGACTTTCCCCCTGAGCAAGGACAGCAGCATGCTGAGGCTGTTGTCACGTGCCACACTTGTGACCTCCATCAGGTCACATACAGTCTCTGCACAGTTGGAGGGAGGTACATCTTTCTGGGTCAAATCTGAACTTTGCCTCTGCCTTCTCCAGCCAGGCAGCAAGGCCCCTGAGAATCATCCTTGGAGCCGTTCCAGACCCAACCTGGCAGCTTTTGACAGGTCTCCTCCTGCCTGGTGTCCTCATGCTGCTGCTTCCTGCCCTGGATGGTGCTGTCCTCTAGGCAGGACTGACCTCTCTCCTGATGGGTGGAGAGCTCCTTCCTTTCAAAGCCTGGCATGTGTTGCCTCTATGCACCAAACAAAAAATTTCCACTGCAGCTGCTGGGTTCAGATTGGCTCTGGCACCTACTGGCCTGGAGATTCCTCTGACTACCACAACACCTATCTGCTGTTCAGGAGATCTATGCCTTTACTCTCTCACTGCTCATCCACAAACACAGTAGAGACTCAAGTCTGAGACAATTAAGTGCTGATTGCAGAAGCCCACTCGCCTCTGAGCCTCTCAGGGACCTTTTCCAAGAAAGCCACAAAAATAACACCCAGAAGTCACCAGGTTTCAGACCCATGCACAACCTCCAGCCAATATCCACAGCCTCCCCACCCAGAGTTATGGCTCCAGATTATCCTGCCTCTGAAAACAGTGTAGAAAAATCCCACAGCTGTGGGACAGATTGCCCAGTTCTTAGCTTCTCCTGGAAGAACAGTTAGAAAGAGGATTTGGTCTGCAATCCTGCCACTGATCTCATGCTTTAATCCACTTCATTATGGGCTTCTAATCTTCAAAGTCAGATGGAGCATATGGCTAATGACCATTTGGCTGAAGGAAAATCTTTGTGTGTGCAGGAGCCAGCAGGAGGGCAGAGATCCATAAGCAAGCAAAGGCAGAGCCACATCTTGGGCTACCACATGCTATGGTCTTTACCACCAGAAGGTCTGTGGGCTAACACCAGGGCAGGATTTGGCCATTATAAAACATCCTCTTTCACTTGCCCAAATTATTTCCTGGTTTGCATTTTCCGCTACAGTTTTTGCCAGTTATTGATCTTATGTTCCCCTGAAGAATCAAGTGACGTTGGGAAATTTTCTTAGCGGATGTGCGACTTCTCGGCGTAAATAACACACTGATAAATGAATAACACATTATTTAATATACTTTTCCAAACATTCCTGAGTTTTGTTACATTGTTTAATAAACAAATACTTGATGTAAAAGCGGGAAATAATAATTAGTTGCAGCTGTTTCATCAAATTGCTTCTAATCACTCCAAAATACCTGCTAAATACAATTCAAACAGCAGTTTCCATCTTTGTCTTGCTCTTGGTCACAATGTGGCCAAGAGCTATTTGTACTGAGCCACACACCTGGAAAAACTGTTACAGAACATACTGAAGATCTGCCTCTCACCTCATGCCCAAAGGCACCATTTGAACTAAGCAATTAAGCAAACAAAGTCACTGATACGATTAAAGCATATTGATATGAAAACATATCCCGTGTTATATGAACTTATTAAATAGAACTTGATTCAGGTAATGCCAGTGAATGCTTTCCTGAACTAATCAGACACTGTGCTGAACTTTGTACCCTGCAGGTGAAGGCTAACGTAGTTTCACATTACTTATGCAATTAATTAAATGTCCTTGGCCCCATTGCAAGGACAGATGTTGACACATGGGAGCAAGTCCAGTAGAGGCCACCAGACTGGTCAGGGTCTAGAGCACAAGGCATTTGGGATAAGCTGAAGGAGCTGGGCTTCTTCAGCCTGGAGAAGAGGGGGTAATAGGGGATCACGTTGTTTGCAGCTCTGTGATGAGGTTATAGAGAAGACAGAGCTAGAGTCTTCAGAGAGCTGCACAGCAAAAGGATCAAAACGAGATCAAATATGAGGAATTATTCTTCACTATAAGGGTGATCAATCAGCAGCACAGGAACCAGAGAGGCTATGCATGTTCTTCCTTGGCAATACTGAAAACAAGGAGAGCCATGAGCACTCTGAGCTGACTGTGACTTTGGCCTTGCTTGGAGCAGGGGTTGGGCTAGAGACCTCTAGAGAGCTCTTCCAACCAGAACCATTTTGCTTATGGTACTTACATAATGCTCTCCCCTATGGATAGTTTTTATTAATGAAGGAACATAACACTTCTCCATGACCCAGGAGAGCAGCCTCAGAGTTTTCCTACAACCTATGCTAAGGGACTACAAGCAAGTAGCACAAAGAGCTCCCTGCACATTTTTATGGGGGGTCACCAGCAACATACACAACAAAAGGAGTAGACTAGAGTAATTGTTTAAAAAAATAAATCATTTAACTATTCAAATTTGAGAATGTTATTAACTCTCAATCATTTCAAAGTCTCTCCACTTCTGCAGTAGTCCATGTCTCCTGCCATCACAACACTTCCCCAGAAGAGCATCAGCATCCAAACCTACAGCAAACTTCTCTGCACCACAGAAAATCAGCTGCCAAAATAGCAGCCATTTCACCGCTGTGCTGCAGCCTGGACCAGACACAGCAGCATCAGCTCTGAGGACATACCTTCCCTTCTTATCTCAGCAGCTTGTGCTGCACTCCAGCTCTGGGCAGCTTCTAGCCGAGGAGAATGTCAGGTCAGGGCTCCATTGCACAGGGCAAGAGTTACTCACTTGAAAGCAGGAAAACGCTACAATGAGCAGCAGACAAAAGGAGGCACTAAACAGCAGAACATTTGGCTGGACAACAGCCCAGGCCATTACTCTTTGAAGTGAATATACTTCAGGGAAGGTGGCTTGGAGGTAATGCAAGAGATGTTATCCTGCAGCTGGTCAGAGGAAGAGGAAATCATTGGTGCAATCAGGTTTCCTGACACTTCAGTGATCTCAGCTGTGCATCATCAAGCGCTCCCTTCATCTTCACTGCAGCCCAAGCAGGAGGTAACTGCAGGAAAGCTGCAGCTGACCTGAGACTGACATCAGTTCATGGCTGCCAGGCAGGAGAAACTCAATGTAGCAACTTCCCAGCTAAGGGTGGGAAAGCCTCCTTCAGGAGCAAATCTTCTGGAGAAAGAAACAATTTTTAATAACTCAATAGACTCTTATCAGCAAGACATTATTTATAGCTCAATGCACAGTTGAAATAGGATGAATGAGCATGTTCTGTGATGAAAGCAAATTGCTTCGAGGTTATATAAACCAGGGGAATAGCTGAACACATCTCCAAAGGACAGCAGATGAGGCATTTTAAAGATACCAGTCACCTGGCAGCACCCACAGCCCCAGAATAGCAGGGGGGTCACAGAATCACAGACTTACCAAGTCTGGAAAAGACCTTTAAGATCATCAAGTCCAGTCATGGCTGTCCCTTGGATTTCAAACAGCCACCAACGAGTATCATTGCCAAGAGATACTTACAGGCAGAAGTAAGATATTGTAATTGACTAACTAGCAGGGCTAGGAAAAGTAGTTCAGTATGGTTAGGATGAACAATTGCTGCATGCTACAGAGTAGCAAAGGAATACAAAGGCCTCCAGGAAGATAATTTAATCCCTGGACAGCTGCATTCCAGAGCTTGTTTACAGAA